TGTGGGATCCAGCTGCCTTAATCACCAATGCTACTAGCTGGCCCAGTGTTTTTTATTCTTTTTGATGTTATTATGAGTGAAATTGTTTTTTTAATTTCATTTTTGGGTTGTAATGGGTGTACAGAAGTATAGTTGCTATTGTATATTGATCTCGAATCCTTGTGTATTGATCTCGAATCCTGCAATCTCACTGAACTTGTTCATTCTAGTAGTTCTCTTAGTGGATTTCCTAGGATCATACAAGGCGCTGTGACCTAGTAATCTCCTGCCACAACCCATCCTATCACCAAGTGCCCATTTAATGAGCGCTTTAACTTGATGTGCATCATACCCATTTTCAGAGGGAATCTGACACTTGGCGATTCGGGGACTTGCCCTACTACACCATGGCCAGAAATTGAATGGTCCAGCTGTGCTTCTCACTCATGAGGCTGTCTGACTCTGGGGCTTGCTCTGGTAATTGCTGTTGTCTGTTGTGTGCCTGGAGGAGAGACATTCTGCGGAAGCAGCTGTGCCACACGAGGACGACTGAGCCAGGTCAGGGTTGACCATGGATGCGAATGGGTTCACACAGCCTTTCACACTCCACTCCGACATGCCTGACTCAGCAACAGCGCTGCAGAAGCACTGGCTTTTCTCACTCTCCCTGCTCTGCAGCTAATGTTCGACTCTGATTGCAACAAAAGATCTCTGTACCATTCTGTCCAGGCGTAGTTAAGTGGAAAACAAGGCCAGGCAGTGGCACAGTGGAAGCACAACTGGACCCAGATAGGAAAGGTCCTGAGTTTGCTTCTTGGAACCTCTCTGAGCACGCTGGTCACGTGTGTGATCCAGGCCAGCTGAGTCTGGGGGTGGTTTGCAGCATGAAGACTCTGTCGAAGGTAACTATCTCTCTGTTTCTCTCTTTCTCTGTTTCTTCCATGGAAGAAATATATAAACTTTCGTATTTTATTTTATTTATGTTTTAATTTGACCAGAGAGAGAAAAAGTTGCCAGGTCTGGGGCTTGAACCACGGTTGGCCATGGTTAGGAGTACAGCGCTTCAGTCACCATGCCACCTGCCGGTCCTGAAACACATAAACTTAAAAAAAAATGGAAATAAGTTATCACTATGCATGATACAGAAATGATGTGTGTGTGTATTTATGTGTGTGCATTTGTAGTGTTTTAGGGCAGGGTCTTGCTATGGCATGATCTTCCTGCTTAGCCTCCCAAAAGCCAGGTCTATAGGTGTGTGCCACCATGCCCAGCTCCTGAAGACATGGTCTTGCTATGTTGTCCATACTGGCCTTCAGCTCGTGACACTCCTATCCTAGCCTCTTACCTGGGATTACAGGTGTGTGCGACTGTGCCCGGGTTCTTAGGGAAAGCTAGGCCTTCCACATGGCCTCAGTCTGCAGAGCAGTGGTGTCTAGTACTAGGCCTGGAAATGACTTTGTAAGGTATTTTAGTATGTAAGATAGCCGTAGTATGATTTGCATAGTGTCTTTCAAAAAGACAGACAAAGCACTTTACAGGCCACCCTGTGGCATGGTGGTTAAGGGGCTGGGTCCTACATGGCCAGCTGCATGGTTTGAGTCCTGGGCCTAGTGATTTGAGAAACATCCCAGATGTGTTTGTTCATGTGCTCAAAATTTTAAAAGAAATAGAGATGAGGGCATTGCAGATTGACCATTCCCCATGGGGGGGGTGTTTTCTAACGTAGTCTCTCTATCTCTGGTGGGCACACATGTCCTCTGGCAAAAATGTTTTTTAAAAAAGCACTTCACCTACTTGTGTTAATCTTCATATTATTAGATGGTATCTAGTCTATTTGAATGAAGAGGAAAAATTATCTCTCAATTTGGAAGCCCTCCTCAACCGTCCATTCCCATTTGCAAGTGATACTCTAAGGCTGCCTTATGCCGGTGTGGGTGGTGGGGCTCATTGAGTGGTAGTGAGGCAAGGAGGTCTGATCTCCTGCAGGTGGAATGGGTTATACTTGGTGTCTTGGGAGCCATGAAGAACAAGGGGTTGGGGGCCCCGCTGTCCAGAACCAGATTGTCAATGCAGTGCTCATCAGTGTTGGTGTCCTGTCCAGGGTCTGCAGTCTTCTGCTGGGCAAGCGCTGGCCAATCCGCTGTGGGTCCCAAGGGAGGTTGCAGAGCTGGACATCTGGCCTCCCTTGATTCAGGCTTTCAGGCTGTTCTCTCTTCTGCCCCTCCCACATCCCTGCCTTTAGCGACACATAGTTTCTCTTCTGAGTGTTTGGGGGTTCACAGTGGGCCCTGGTGTCCTTGTAGCTCCTCCTGAGACGCAGGTGAGCAGAGAACACTCGGGCCTCACTCAGCTACTCAGCTCCACATGCGTGGCGGCCTGCCATCTCCCAGGGTTTTGCCACGGTTGCCTTCTCGTAGGCTCCTTTCCAGTCCTCTGTCCTTTGGTGCTTATTACCTATTTCTGTTTCTTTTACTGTCATTAGGATTTCAGGAAAGAGCGGTGATGAATTTCATTTGTGTGTGTGTGTGTGTGTGTTTTTATCAGTTACCTCTTCATGTCCTTCACCTGATCTTCTACTTTTAAAATTTTGATTTGTTTTGTTTTATGAGAGGGAGGAGAGAAGAATGTGTGTATGTGTGAAGAGGAGATATTTTTGACAGGATTTCAGCCCCTTGTTTTCTTCTGCCCAGCTTACCAGCTAGCTAGGACTGGGGGCATATTCTATGGTGCCCGGCCTGTTCAAGTTGGTCCAGGATCTGAACTTGGGCCCCCCATGTGGCCTCAGCCTCAGCTTTTACTGCTTACAACACTGTGACTGGGTCATCTATTACTTTCTTGGTTTGTTTTGTTTTAAGTTAGTTTTTTTTCCTTCCTTGAGCAGAGGGATAGAGAAAGGATCAGAGAAAGCATCCCTACAGAGTCTTCCCACCATGACCCAGCCCCACCAGCCCCTGATCATGGCCACATCCGTTCCTGAAGTAGTGAGGGGGAGGTCTCCTAGAAGCAAACCCAGACCTTCTCATGTGGCCCAGCCTTGAAAAGTTTCTCTGGGTTTTAAGTGTATGAATTTGTAAGAGCTTTTTGTGTATGAAGGCTATTAACTCTCTGCTCTGATGACCCTTTTTTCTCTTGCATTTACTTACTTTTGAGACACTTGTTGGAAGATGCTGGTAGAGATGTCGGCTTCTGTAACTCGTGCAGATGGCTGTGTAGGGGCGTGGAG